TGGTTTTTTTTTTTTTTTACGCGCAGTAAACTCATAGTCGCATCTCATGAAATGTGCAACAAAGGAACCTGATCATCTTATATTCTTATGATAATCTTAATAACGTTGAATAGCGCGCAATGAACCAGGTGCGTATCTACGATTTCCCACGAAAAATTCGCACGGGAAATTCTTAACAATCAACTCTCCTAGAATATATGCACGTTACGAATAAACTGACAGTGAGAAGCGAGGTCACAGGGGCACCTAGGATCCATGGTGAAAATCCGTGAAACAATCCACAGGTAGCCCAAGCCAGCTTATAAGAAAATGTATGACGATGCATTTCTTAACGGTCTGAGAGGGAAAAAACGTTAAATTGATGGAGTCCAAAATATAAGTACACAGGGTGAAAGAGGTACTACTTTTCAAAGGTCGGCTGAGATTTATTTACTTTATTTCACATTCTGAAGATTTCTTGGCGTTTTTTATCGCCATACCTTTTCTTATATATAAAATGACACCACWGAAACCTAGCTTGGGCTACCTGCAGTGAACAATCAWGGATGCAAGCATTCCCAAGAGAGTCAAAAGACAAAAGCATGGCGGCCATTGTGGTGCCGTAAACAATGAATGCTAATGAGAAATCGTTTGTTAAATGGTACCAACRTGGCCGCGATAACGTAACGTGCAAACGAAGAATTGATAACAGTACTTCTGTGCTGACTACGTTACGCTGGATAAATAACATTACAAACAAAAACATAAAAAACATGACAGCCAAACAAGAAATCGTTTATATTTTGAAGTCTCTCTTAATATAAAATTTTTATAGTAAAMTAAAAAAATACTTTACGGGTAAATGCATTCATGTACGAAAGAGAATAGCGCTCCTATGCATAATAGTTTAACTGAATTGTTTACATTGCTTACCTTAGCATTGGCTTAAAATTGTTCCTTCTCAAAACTTGAATAGCCATCATTTAATAATTTTCTCTCCAGATCTCAGTTTTCGAGTAAGAAAAACTCTTTTAAAGACACAGAAAATAGWCCCAAGGGCTAGCTTTGCGGTGCTACACAGCCATCGAACATCTTTAGTTTGGGCACTGCATAATTTTCTCTCTGCAGACCACGTGTTATTATTCCCGCGAGAATCGATCATTTGTTTGACTTTCACACATTTTAAGCGTGCTGCAGTTCAAGATAGTRCATTCCAAAGCAATGCCGCAAAACAAAAGTGAGTTTTTCAATTGTGGAGTAGATAATGAGATTCTAAAACGTTTTTTATTATCGTCTGTTTAAAACCAAGCAAATTACCTTGCGATATRAGCACGACTCTGTATACAGTTCATCATGATTCCGAACTCAAAAAAGTCTCTTAAATATTATTTGCAGTTTTTACTAATATTTTGAATAGAATTGAATTCTATGCATACTGTAAAATCCCATATACTCATATACTTGTATAACCGGGAGGACTATTATAAGGGATATTTGCATCAGCAGACTAGCCAAGTATGGGCTTAGAACCAGGATTTTACGGTATTAAGCTTTCTTAACTTTWCTTTATTGGGCAATTAAAATTTCTCTTGTGCATTTCCAAGAAATTGGGAACGGCTCTATAAAAAGATTATTATTATGGGCGAATCCAGGAATCTGATAAAGGGGATTGAAAAAAAATTCGGCGTTAGAGGTTCTGGAACCTCACAGCTAACTTCGACGAAACGAAACCAAAGGAGATCTGGGAGCATGCTATCAAGAAATATTTTATAATGTGGCTACAAGATATGCTATTCCCTGCGTTCTGGGGGATATTTTGGTCAACAACAAAATAAATAAAAAATCTCAGACTGAAATGGGGTCGCGTCCCAATTCCCCYTCCCCTCCCTAGATCCGCCCCGTTTTATTTATCGCTGCTTATCAAGATTGCTATATTGCTAAACAATTTTGTCGAGTTATAAATGTCTAGTAACCCGCTAAAGGGTTCAAACTATTTCAAACTAAGTCTCGGGACTGGAACCCTTGCTGATATTCAGTCATTTTGATTACAAAGAATAATGCGTCATCAAGTTATCTGATAGAAGAAACCGCTTTTTTGTTAATATGTTCTGAGCACGCGCACTAGCTATCAGCAGTCTTCCATGAAAGCCATTAAAAGATTGTCAAGAACAAGAGTGAGGACTTCGAACTTCGGACGTTTTTCAGGGTTCGCTTCCCAGCAGTCTTTCATGATGGAGTACCTGTGGGAAAAAAAACCATATATATTTTGATAAGAACCCGTTTCCATAGCTCTTTTCTGAGTTCAATAAGCAGGATCCATTTTTGTTCAGCTTCGGCGCAAACAACACCATATAAGGCATGATGAACCAAAGTTGTTTGTACCTAAGCTAGACCACAATGCACCATATTCGCTATCTCAGAAAAGGTCTATGGTATATACAAAGTTATCACTAAGTCGTCACTATGCTATCTTTTTGAGTTACATGTGAAGTGGGATAGTTTTCTACTTCAGCAACGTAGCGTGCAAAAAATTGCGTCGTGTGTCATGACTTGCAGCATTAATTGCATGCAACATTGCGCGCAATGTTGCACCGTGTGTCCGTAGCTTAATGGGTTTTGAATTTAGTATATTACACAAACTTACAATTCATCGGAACAGCTGCTTGGTTTTTGTAGTCTTACACCGGACTGTTGCATCGTGTGTCCGTAGCTTAATGGGTTTTGAATTTAGTATATTACACAAACTTACAATTCATCGGAGCAGCTGCTTGGTTTTTGTAGTCTTACACCGGACTTGAGAGCTTTGACTAGATCCATGTAGGATAGTCCAGCATATGGCATTTTACCTGAATCATTATAAAACGACAATGTATTAGTTCTACTGTATGTTAACCTACTAGCCATGCGTGAAAGTATATTTCTGGGAACATACACTGAATTGAAGGTTCAGAAACCTAGAACATAAAAGCTGAGACCGAAATGGCACATGGGAAGTACGTTAATTAGATGCATGCTGTGACCGGCGACCCGTGGCATCATCCACTGTTTTTAATACGCGTTTGGCATTCTAAACCGACTGCATGGATGGCGCAAATGAATAGATTATAATATATTTATGTTATTTCCCATGTGCCATTTCGGTCTCAGCTTTTATGTTCTATGTTTCTGAACCCGACAACGATTCTTCAATTGAGTGTATGTATTCGTTTGGTGAAGCACCGTTGAAGCTTATAGCTTTCATCTACTGGCCATACTGGGAGATCATGCAGAAGTAGAAGTAGATGGGGGTAACATCAGAATGAATCTTTTCTGATCGAGGTTATAGGAGCTAAAGTGAAAGTCTATCGTTTGAAAACCCAAGGCTAGGGGGTTTAACAACACGTTAAGTTCGTGTTAATTGAAAAATGGTTTCATTATGATGGATCTTGTGTTGTCAGAGATGGGAGTTGAATTGCATTGCATTGCAGGAAGAACGACTGAACATATGAAAAAACAGGGGCGGATCCAGGATGGGGTGCAGRGGGTGCGCACCCTTCCCTGATTCCACTTTGTGCCCCTACTTCTAAGATAACCAATACTGTTTTTCGCTTTGATTCTAAGGGGTGCACCCCTCCCTGGGTTAAATTTTTGCGCAGCACCCCTCCCTGAACAAAATCCTGTATCCGCCCCTGAGAACGGAGGTTCAAGTGTATGGAAAGGTACWCTAAAAATATTCAATGAGTATCACAAACCTCCAGTCTCTATTTCCCACAGCAAAACRCCAAAAGACCACCTGAAAGAAAGACAAGTCCGTCAGATAAAKAAACGTAGGTACGATGCAAACATGYGAAAAATAAWGATGTTATTGTATACTGAGAACTTCAAACTCACACATCGCTTTCTGAGGTAGCCTTCAGTGTCTCAAGTGCTTCAATTGACATCCACTTGGCTGGCAGTTTACCCTGAAGTTAAGTCACAACATTATGTTATTTCTATGTATGTGCTTTTAAAATTCGAAATAAAAAAAGGGTCCAAGGTTTTGGGATACTGGAATTTTTCTATCAGTGCCCTCATAAAAGCAAGGACATTACCATGGCGGCGGAACGATTTTTAAAATAAAAGGCTTAGTACCAACCACACTTCTTCCTCTTTAATTCAACTGCATGCACCACACAATTCCATACGTATGCATAAAAAACACTTCATTGACCTTATCCCTGTTTCGGCTCTCTGCTGTCCAAGCTTGTCTATTGTAGGCAAGAAGATTATAGTAAAGAAAAGTATTTTTAAAAACTTTTCTTTACTAAAATACTTTACTTTACCGAGTATAATCTAAGACTGAATTGACTTGACACTAACCCCAGAACTCGATTTCTCGTAGAATCCTTGTTCGTACACATCCCTTGCGAGGCCAAAGTCAGCTACTTTAGCGATCCTGTCCTTTCCAAGCAGAACATTTCTAGCGGCCAAATCACGATGAACACACTGTAAAAAAAAGGTTAAAGACTTGACCTTAAATCAAAAACGTTTAATGTATCGGTAAGACTATGAAATAATTGGAGTTTACTGCGATTGGGCTTATTTATGCCAATTGTTGTCTCACCCTCCCCTCCCCCACAATGCGTAGAAAAGAGCTGAACATTATATGTACTCATGAGAAAAATATCAACTATTGACTTTCACTCCCTGTAACGTTAAACTCGCTTCTGCTTTCTTCTTCATCTTGCAAAATGTAGAAATTTAAGTGTAAATATAATGCATTGTGGTCTTGCTTGGGTACAAACGACAGCATGCAAGGCATGCCGAACAAAATATGTTTGTATGAAAGCTAGACCGCAATGCATCGCTTGTCTTTGTTCGTGAGTAAAGCCGGTACCTTGTGGCTTGCTAGATGCTTCATTCCATTAGCAATATCCAAAGCAATTCTAATCTTTTCCTGGTTGTCCAATGATGACGCTTCGTCCTTGTTCCCATCATCATCAATGGTAGTTATTCTGTTTTCCCGAATGTAATCAAGCAGGCATCCATTCTCTGCGAACTCCACAACCACGTACAAAGGTCCACCTGGAATTGATAATGATAAATGGTAATGACTGGTAATGAAATACGGTCGAACTATTATAGTATCGGCCACCCTTTGGGGGATTGTCATTTGCTAATGAGCTGCTAGCAACCTAATAGAGGCGTAAAGTAGAGCAACGAACATTTTCTGAGGGACATTKACAAATAGCAGATTGGATACTTAATAGATGGCGCTTAATAGACGTCGGCAGCTTAACAGAGATGCTGCTATTATTCTGCAGCCTGCGTAAGTCCATGAAGTAATGCCTTTTTTGAAAAAAAAGTTTTGTTTTCTTAAAAAAAAAACACTCATTTACAGTGGTCTTATATGTTTTCTCCTCACAGACTACCTGCATTTTCTAGCTTGCTTATTATCTATTTGTATGTACAAATGTTTAAGGAAATACATGAATATGAATTACATATATAACCTGTTTTCTATGTAGTACTCAGTAGCTAGATAACACTGACTAAAGAGCATCAATGTGTTTTATCTATGGTTAAAGTTGTGCATCTGATTAATATTCAATTTACCTCCTCCCTTGCAGGCACCAAGCAGGTTGACAATATTTGGATGCTCTTCCACAGAACACATGATCTCAAGTTCATTGAACAGATCCCGGTAATCACTCTCAGATGCACCAGCTATAGATATAAGAATGATACATTGCTAATTCATCCTAAAGTTCAATATCCGCAATCAATCAAATACTCCTTATTCCTTATTCCAAGGCTTCAGTAGAGCAGTCGTGTTGGTGTACCAAACTAAAACATTTTCTATCCTCGGGGAATTGATCTCTATTTATATGCAAAGGATGTGCAGAAAGGCTCTATTGTTTGGTACACAAATATGACTTCCTTCTCAACTGAGTAAAGACGCTCCAAACGCTCCACCCAGTGATAGGTCAACTTACGTTTTAACATCTTGACAGCACACGGCAAATCTTCATCTTCWCCCTTCTCCTTYAAGAATCCCTTGTAAACCACACCAAACTGACCAGAGCCAAGTTCTTTATCAAGAACAAGATTGTCACGTGGAATACTTCTACATCGCAAGGGTAGTTCTACCATTTCCAGTGCGTCTCCGCCACACTCGATCTTTTTTTCTCCGTCATGAAAGTCGTCATACTGATAGAATAAAATGGAAAGATAYGAAGAATGTAATCAGATATGAAGAAATAGAGAAATGCTGAAAGGATATAAAAAAACAAAACAAAATACAGTAGTTTTTGATCGACCAACAAACGGACTGATCGACTGTTCGACCGGCCGTCAGACTGATGGATTTAATGACTGTTTTTAAAATCTATGTTGCAAAAAAAGTTACCAAAAACAGAAAGAAAATACAGTAAATTCTGATCCATCAATTAACTGACCCATTGGTCGGTCGTATTCCAAACTTATATAATTTAAAACGAAAAAAAAACTTTCGTGGTCAACTCACACATCGTTTTCCTTCCACTTCTGTGGTCGCCAGCTTGGCTTCTGTTCTCGCTCGTCGGCGTCGTATATAAAGAAGTACAATCACACCAAGCAACAACAGTACAAAGASGGGGACAAAAACCTTGGTGAATGTACTCCAGAAATCTAAAGATGAGAGAGTCATTAGGAAACCTGTTCATGGAGATTTAGCATGGTAGGGTTCAATAGAATTTTAGAAGAAGCAATATATGATTCTTACAAAAAAATATTTTCTATAAAGACTTCGTTCAACTTGAAGAAAACAAAACAATAAAATAAAATAGAATAATTTTTTTTAAAAATCACTTTTTAACACGCACGGCACACTAAAGAAAATCCTTGGTCAACGTTAAGAGTGGATCCAGGGGGGATGCTTTGTAGATTGGGTGACTAGCCTCCACCCTTGGGAGTTGAAAAAAATCATAGGAATATAGGACAAGTATAAACTGAAAAGGATCTTTCTAGGTTATAACAGCCACTTCCCTTGAGCGTCAAAGACATTTTAAGCTAAGRAATCGTGAACTTTACTCAGACGCAGATGATTCCATTCTACAATGGTCCCTTAGCTTTCACAGMTTTCACAGGTAGCGGTGCCTTTGCATTGAAACGAGTCGAACAGTGAGCTTGGAATGATAGAGACGTAAATAATTGTCCAACAAAGTGTTGYAAGCTCACYGATCTTCTCGCTTCGATGCAAAGRTAAGGCTACCTTCAAGATAKCGCAGGGAGCTATGAAAGGTACTCTTGAACGTACCAGAGTGYGTTTTCACTTCAATCACATTACTGGGTAATCCTTCACCCACGTGATTCACAGCACCAGCCTTGATAGAATATGACGTATCTGGTTCTAAGTCTTCCAGGAACAAGGTGTTCGAGTGCTGTCCACCAGCTTCAAGGTTCTTCCAAGAATTGCTGAACTGTTTGTACTTAACTAAGTAGTTTTCTACGCTGTATGTGTCGTGGTAAAGGGGWGGGCTCCAGTGAATGGTCATTGATGTTTTCTTGATGTTGATRGCGGTTAGGTTTCTTGGTGCTGGAGGCTTAACTAATAAAAAGAAGAATTAGCAATAGAATTGGAAACTCTTTATTTACTTTTACGTATACATACCTCGYGGTTTCAGAGACTCGGCTTTWAATATCAGCTTCCCTACGATACCAYCTGACGTCTTCACCCTRCGGACAAGAACATTTGCAATTCGCACCTTGGCATCTGGTGGAGGCTTGTCTTCTGGATTCTTGACTTCAATTTTATAAACGACGCGAAACTGAACAGAGACGCTACCATTGCTGTAGAAATCAAAGTGAATTCAATTATCTTTATTTCATTTTTCGTTTTCGATTTGTGAGACTTGAAAAAATGAATTAAACCAAGAAGCTAGAAAAAGTGGAAAAGAGAAG